TGCAGTGGAGGCTGCACCTGAGGAAGTAGATTGGACATCAGTATTATATCACAACCAATGAATGACATCTCCAATTATGCAGCACTCCATTGGTTATGCAATGTCATATAGGTTAAGACTATATGTTCAAATCTCTGGAATGGACCTTGCAGCTAACCCTTTCCAACTCAATGATGTACACAGTGATGGCAGCATATTGACAATGTTACTAGACTAGGAAGTCAAAGGGTCAGGTTAATATTCTCAGCAAATGGGTTTCAAATCCCATCAAGCCACCTGGTGGAATTTAACTTCTGTGAATAAATCTGGAAATAAAAGTTAGTTTCATTAATGATGACCATGGAATGATTGTTGCAAAGACCCATCTAGTTCACCAATACACTTTAGAGAAGAAAGTCTGCCATGTGGACCTACACTAGACTGCAGAACTGCAGCAATGTAGCTAAATCTTAAACTGTCCATTGAAATGACCTAACACGCCAAACAATTCAAGGTCAATTAGGGATGAGCATTAAATGTTCATTTTGCCAGGGATGTCTACATCTCATGAAAAACATGAGAATTTCAATTGGAATGTCAATTGATACCAGAAATAATGTTGGGACAAAACAATTTCTATCACTACCCCATTGGATCTTGAGAAACTAATATGAAGGAATAAACACAGAGAACACTGGAGAAACTCAGCAGATATGACAGCACCTACAAAGAGAGAAACAGAGTTAAACATTTTGAGTCTGGTATGTCTCTTCTTCTCAGGAGAACTCAGGAGTCAAACGTTAACTCTGTATTTCTCTCTCCAGATGCTGTCAGACCCATTGAGTTTATCCAGTACTCCCTGTGTTTGTTTCAGGTTTCCAGCATCCACAATATTTTACCTTTGGCACAATACAAAAGAATTAGTTAAAAATGGCTGTTCATGACCGTTCCATGGATGAAGAGTCCTGACCCGAATCGTCAGCTTTCCTACTCCTCTGATGCTGCCTGGCCTACTGTATTCCTCCAGCTCCACACTGTGTTACCTCTGACTCCAGCATCGGCAGTTCTTGCTATCTTAATATACGTAGGGATGCCTGCCAACATTGGTTGCATGTTTCATTCAGGGAGAACTTATGTTTTGACCGAATTAGTTTTCATTTATCATCAAGGGTCAATAACTAAATCCAATCATGTGGCTATCTGATCTCCGTATGCAACCACTTCCGAAATAAGCCAGTCGAGAAAGAAATCTGATCACTGTCTCATCAAGTTTTCCTTCACAGATGTTGAGCTTACTATATCATCCTTACTGTAGGGCTCTTTTTGAGCTCAGATAACACAAGGCAAGCCAGGAATACAACCTGCATCTCCAGTCTGACTATTTTAGCTTTAGAGCCGAAGCTTTTCATTTTGCACTTATCAGGATGAATGCAAGAATGCCCAAATTTCAAACAGTTGATCAGAAAGGTTTATCTGGAAGGATAATCAATGTTGCACATTGTCAGAAATCAGACAACACCAGGTTATAGTCCAACAGGTTTATTTGAAATCACAAGCTTTTGGAGTGTTGCCCCTTTGCCAGGTGAAGTCACTTCACCCAATGAAGAAGCAGTTCCCCAAAAGCTTGTGATTTTAAATAAACCTGTTGGACTATAACCTGGTGTTGTCTGATTTCTGACCTTGTCCACCCCAGCCCTCCACTGGCACCTTCACATTAATGTTGCACATTGTCTACATTATGGCACCACCTCAGCTAATAGGTGTTGACTTGCCAACGAATTACAGAACATAGAACATAGAACAGTACAGCACAGGAACAGGCCCTTCAGCCCACGGTGTTGTGCTGACATGATACCAAATTAAACTAATCCCTTCTGCCTACCCTTGGTCTATATTCCCCATTCCTTGCATGTTCATGTGCTTACCTAAATGTTTCTTAAACTCCCCTATCGTATCTACCTCCACCACTACCCTTGGCAGTGCGTTGCTGGAACCTACCACTCTCCATGCAAAAAACTTGCCCCTCACATCTCCTTTGAACTTTCCCCCTCTCACCTCAAATGCATGCACCCTAGTATTAAACATTTCAACTCCGGGAAAAAGGTTCTGGCTGTCAGCTCTATGTATGCCTCTCATAATTTTATAAATTTCTATCAGGTCTTGCCTCAGCCTCTGCTGCTCCAGAGAAAACAATCCCAGTGTGTCCAGCCCGTCTTTACAGCTCATACTCTCTAATCCAGGCAGCGTCCTGATAAATCTCTTTCTGCACCCTCTGCAAAGCTTCCACATCCTTCCTGTAATGTTGTGACAAGAATTGAATGTAATTCTCTAAATGTGGCCTAATCAATCAGCACTATTTTCTCATGTAGCACAAATATTTCGTGATTTTTGTTTTGAAATGTATCATTCTTGCATTTGCCCTGATGAGTAGAAGATGAAAAGCTTGAGGAAAATGTTTCAAATTCTGTAGTTTTATGCTACTGTTTACTGCCCACTGCACTATCGGCCACTTTCCTTCTCGGAATGACTGGAGAAGCTGCATATGTTTTCCACAGGCCTGAGAAGCTTCAAGCAGAAGCCAAACAAGGTGTTGTCAGGAACAAACAGATTCCAGTGGCATGAAGATGCATCAATCAGAAGCCATAGATTTAAGATCATTGTCAAAAGAACTAAAGCTGAGATGGTTAGAATGTTTATCTGTTGTGGTCTGAACTGTGCTACCTGGAAGTGGGACGACAGCAGGTTCAATAAAGAGAAATTTGGTTGAATTTTTGAAACGGGAGAACAAAATCAACGTGATTGGATGGGTTTTGTGGAGTAAGACTAATCAGCTCATTCAAAGGGGTAGCAGGGGAGTGTTTGGACAAATGGCCTTTTCTGTGCTGGATAACTCAATGACCCAGGATTGATTAATCACAGTGAGGAACATTAAATTGACACAAGTCAAATTCTACAATGGACTGATGTGATCCACTAATTGAATCTAAACTGTTATAGATTAAATTTAATCATGTGTCAAAATACTTGTCAGTGATTATATCTACGTAGGGCCAGAAATGACCATAGCCAATTCCCTACTATCCTTCCATACTCCTGTGTAAACAAACTGTCTTGTTGATTCATAAGCATACTATTCCATGCCTATAGAAATGCCCTGTAGAAATGAATAAGTCTGTACCAGAGATTTGAATTCCCAGCGACTAACTTAAAGGAATTACGCCACAAGATTTCAAGTTTTAAGCCAATCTCTGTAAGAAACAAACTAGAACCAACAAAAAAATAATGTTGACTGAATATTAATTATTGAGGAAATAATCTTCTAAACTGCAGAAATTATTTATGGATGGCTTAAACATGATTTTAAAACAACAGGACCACACACTGTACCTATACCTTACAAGATGCTTTCTACTGATTTGCAGACTCTTCAAGAAAAAATCTAAAGTCATTTCCAGGTTCCAAAGGATTCACTTCTCTGCATTTTGATGAGCCGCAACATAGACCATTCATTAAATATCATTTCACTCAGTTTGCTAAAAATTCTGAAGCTGATAGTAAATAGCAAGGGCCATTCTGATAATTTCTCCTCCTAACCGAGCTAAGGCAAATCTTCTGGCACCTCTAAATTGCTGTGTGCTGATTCTCTTCAACCAGTGGATAAGCTGTCCCCAGCATTAGCTGACAGGGGAAACAGCCTTTTCCATTTGCACACCGTGGCAATTGTTATTCTACATGTCTCTATCTCTCTCCCTCTGTTCCTGTTCAAAGTCTTTGAGACAGAAAGTCTCCAGAAAGAAGCACATCAGCTATTGCCTTTTGTTTGCGATGTAAACCTAGCATATGCATTTCAATAGCACATAACCTGAACCATTGAATTCCATAATAACGAAGCCACATAGGCTTATTGTTGGGCAGAACTCATAATAAATCTCTTCATTACCCTATTTTACCTCAAATTTTAAAAGAAAGACTAAGGTTGGAAACCTTATAACTTTCTTACAAATTTTTGCATTCACAACACAATGCTTCTCTATTTGCTGAACCACATACCCAGGCCAATTAATAACCACCTGGGGTCTCATCTGCTACATCTGGCATTAACCCAGCTGCTGGTAGTTTGTGGCATTGTGGGTGAGTGGTGGGTTGGGGCTGGGGTCTTTCCCAATTAGAAACATAGAAAATAAGAGCAAAAGTAGGCCATCCAGCCCTTGGAGCTTATTTTTGGCCTCAAGACAATAAGAGTAAAGGTAAGGTTACCATTGTCCGAGAGGACTATTAGCAAGAGATGACTGGTGATGGTGATGGTTTAACCTGTGAGTCACCCTGCCTCAGTAAGGGTGAGATTGAGAAGGCAGGATCTTTATGGTGACCTTAGCCAGTACAGGAATTGAACCCGTACTGTTGGTGTCACTCTTCATACTGTCAAACATCCTGTAGCCCTCACCCAAAGACCCCCAACCCTCAAAACATTTGGCCTTTCGCCACATTACATACCTGTGGTGTGGTTCACTGTATTATCTTTGGCCTCAGGAACCTGTCCTTACAGCAGCATCCATGACCTCAATCTTACCATTGCCGACTTCAAGAGCTGCCAGACTCTGATAGCTGCTTTTGGATGGCGAGACTTACATTACAGGCTCTCGTTTCCATGGCCTCACCACTACCTGATTGGCTGGTGGTCAGTGGGGCCTTCGGCCTGAGCTGACAGCAAAGAATCCTAATAACTAACACGATCCTGCCTGATATCAGAACCTGTGAAGCAGCCAACTCTCATGTTACTCAAGTATCTAGCCTGCCAAATGACATTTTCCATATCTTCAAATAACTGAAGCTTGATGGGGCTATACGTTTGCACTCCATTCTCTTACAGTCATAAGTAACTGAGTCATTGATTTTCAGGTTATGTCTGTATGAATCTAATGGTAGGAAGATTGATAATCAAGACAGACTGCAATCTGGACTCCATTAAACTTCAGGGATTCAAATAAATTGCACTTAATCTTTTCTTCTTTTTGTTTTAGCTGTGCTTCAAGTGACTATTTCTCTGGGCAAAGTGGAACTCAGTGTGGGTGAGTCCAAGTTTTTCACCTGTACAGGTAAGCTCAAAGCAAATCATTTCCTTCTAAATGATTTTGTTGCTGTTTTAGGGCAATCCTGCACAGGGCAGCTCTAAATTTTAAGATTAAAATATTGGTTCTCCTCCCTCTATATCTTGCGTTAATTGTGGACCTTAATACATGTACAAAGGGCTATTGTTTGATTAGCTAAACAAAGGATTCTTTATTGAAGACTATCAGGATTCAAGGACAAATCTTTGTTACTTGTTACCCATTGATCAACATTGATCTAGCCACAATATCACATGTTAAAGAAACAAGTCTTATTTCTCTTACTGTTATCTTTCACTTGTATCACAGCATTTGAGTCTATAAATGCATAGGTACAACTATCATAGATCTTGGTGCATACATCAACCAGCATCGAAAGGCCAAACAAGAGTAGGAATCCTTTACAATACTGAATGTAACAGTCAATGGTAGATGTGATTTTCTCTTCGCCATATGGGCTCTGCTCTCTGTAGACATGTCTTAAACTCCTGCATACCTTTGCATCACAGCCCATATCAGCTGCTTGATCCCTTATGCACGGTTAATAATACAGAGAAGTAAAATATTCATTTGCTGACTACTAATGTAGGTATTGTATTGTGGCTGAAAGCTGCATTAAATATAAACATGAAGCAGCTGCAAAAACATGATCTTTCTGGCTGAAATCGTGGGGCCATCAGATATGCCAAGTCAATTTCCATGCCACCGTCTACAGTATTTGGAATGAGGGTGGTGTGTTTGAGATAAAAACAACTCTCCTTTCAACTTTAGGATTATATTGGTCTTGAAGGGAGTGCAATGTAGGTTTACAAGAATGATACCTGGACTTCAGGGGTTACATTCTGAGGAGGGATTATACAAATTAACTCTGTTTTCTCTAGAATTTAGAAGGTTAAGGGTAGTCTGATCAATGTCTTTAAGCTACTAACAGGAAAAGACAGGGTAGTAAAAGATTAACTGTTCCCACTGGTTTGGCATTCTAGAACTATGGGCCATAGTCTGAGAATTAGGGCCAGACCATTCAGGAGAGATGTTAGGAAGCATTTCTACACACAAAGACTGGTAGATGTTTGGCACTGTCTTCCAGAAACAGCAGTTGACACTAGACCAGTTAATGATTTTAGTTTTGAGATAGACACATTTTTTGTTTAGCAACAGTATTATGGGATATGGGCCAAAGTATAAAAATATGAATTAGGCTACAGATCAGCCATGATCGCAGTGAAAGCTGCAATAGGCTCAAGAGGCTAAATGGCCTACTCCTGTTCCTGTGTTCCTATCTCAATATCTGAAATTAATGTGCTCCCTCACAGCTTTCCATACACATACACCTTCCAGAATATTACAACAAATCCCAGGACAAGGATCATTTCAATTCTCACATACCTTAATTTGTTTTTACCTGTGTTACTTGCCCCCTTCCACACTGTGCCACTTTTTCATGAATTCTATACTCTCATTCTGCCGTGCTTAGTTCAAAGGTCATGTTTGATTACACTGTTTCCAGTGGACCAGCAAATTACCTCATTGCTTTTAAAGCGCTTTAAGATACAAGTGCGAGGGGCGTGGAAAAGGCGCTGTGTAAATGCAAATCTTTCTTTTAACATGTAATTTTGGCATACACTGTAGACTCTTGCTGCTGGCATGACTTTGCAGCAGACTGCTCCCATGTTTATGAGGATGTGGGGATGCACCCAAACTTCACTCCATCTCATTTTAGACCTTTGCATGCTCCCTCATGCTGCGCACCTTCTGTGGCCAAGCTCGCAAGCTGAAGACCTCCTGCCTGTAACAATATTAAGCTACTTAAACACCTAGATTGTGTCTGTGATTTCCAGTCAATGTGGTTGATCTGCCAGTATCTTCAGCTCTTTGTCTTCTCTACATGGTCTGTACCTCTTGATGGAATTGGTGCCCTATAATTTGCCCTCAGTACCTGTTATAAGTGGTCATGCTGTGTTGAAATGTATTCTTATTTGTTTTAATGCCTTTGCAGACTAGTTTCAAAGTTGTCAGTAAGTTAAAAGGAAAACAGACTTACTTTTTTTTCCCTTTTAACTTACTGACTAATTTGGAAACTTACGTTTTTTTTCTGACAAGTTGCTAATGATAAGGGATTTACTTCATTGGTACATCATTGCTCATTCTGTTTTCTCTAGAACAGTTGGTGTCATCTATTAATGTATCCTTTAATGAAACAGGAGAAAGCATCACAGACAAAAGTATTGGATATTCAACCACTAATCGCTGCAACTGTCACATCCACCCTGTGATTGTATTTGTCTCTGTTATGAAAGCAGTTTGTTCAGGCAACTCCACAAGAACAGATTAACTTCCATCGATCGCATTGTTATTTGTGGAACCTTGCTGCGTTCAAATTGTCTACGTGTGCGCATTGGTGTGAAACCACTTGAGAAATTATTTGTTGGCAATGCTGTATTTTGGGACAAAAGGGGAATGCAGGAGGCATCACACAAGCATGAGGCTTTTATTTTGTTATGTCCTCGTTCATTATAAGATGCTGCATCGAGCCAAGGAACTGTTAGGGAGAGAAGAGACAAAGGAATTGCAATCCTGCTAAGTGGTTGTAGACTTGCTCGCCGAGCCGGTGTGTTTGGTTGCAAACATTTCGTCACCCTGCTAGGTAACATCGTCTGTGCGCCTCCAGTGAAGTGTTGGTGTTCTGTCCCACTTGTTATTTATATGCCTCGGTTTGCTGGGGTGGTTGGCATTACTTCCGGTCCTGTTTTTCAGTGGTTTGTGTATCGGATTCAGTTCAATGTGTTTGTTGATGGAGTTCCGGTAGGAATGCCAGGCCTCCAGAAATTCCCTGGCATGTCTCTGTTTGGCTTGTGCTATTATGGATGTGATGTTCCAGTCAAATTCATGTCCCTCTTTGTCCATTTGTATTGAGGCCAGTGAGAATTGGTCCTGTCTCTTGGTGGCTAGTTGGTGTTCATGTATCCTTATTGTCAGTTTTCTTCCAGTTTGGCCCACATAATGTTTCTCACAGTCCTTGCATGGTATTTTGTATGTTGTGTTGGTTATATTGGTTGTGGGTATGGGATCAGTTATGTTCGTCAGTAGTTGTTGCAAGGTGGTTGTTAGTTTGTGGGCTACCCTGATACCTAGTGGTCTGAGTAGTCTTATGATCATCTCTGATATGTCTGTGATGTATGGTAGGGTGAATGCTAAATCTGGCTGTATTGTGTCTTCTTGTTGTGGTCTGTCGCGGAGGTAACAGCAGATTGTGCATTTTTGGATATCCATTCCTTTTAAAAGCTCCGTATAAGTGCTCCCGTTCTGCTTTGTGCAATTATGGGTTGCTGCAGCGTGTTGTGGCTTGTTTGAATCAGGACGTTATTCAGAGAGACATCAGAGATGACCACAAGACTGCTCAGACCGTTAGCTATCAGGGTAGCCGACAAGCCAACAACTACCCGGAGACAGCTACTGACGAAAATAAAGGATCCCATACCGATGACCAATAAAACCAATGTAACGTACAAAATACCATGCAAGGACTGTGAGAAACATTACATAGGCCAAACTGGAAGAAAACTGACAATAAGGATACACGAACACCAATGAGCCACCAAGAGACACGACCAATTCTCACTGGCCTCAATACACACGGAAAAGAAGGACATGAATTCGATTAAGGCAGCACATCCATAATAGTAGAAGCCAAACAGAGACATGCCAGGGAATTTCTGGAGGCCTGGCATTCCAACCATCAACAAACACATTGAACTGGACCCGATAGACAAACCATGAAAAACAGAACCGGAAGTGATACCATCCACTCCAGCAAACCGAGGCAAATGAATAACAAGCAGGACAGAACTCCAACGCTTCACCGGAGGCACATAGATGATGTTACTTAGCAGGGTGACAAAACGTCTACAACCAAACACACCGGCTCGGTGAGCAAGTCTACAGCCTCATCCACGGCCCGAGCTCCAAATCTTCTCAGAAACTTTAAATCCTGGAATGTATTTCATAATTCAGGACATCCTGCAGGCCTTTTGAGTCACTGGTGTGCCTTTTAAAGGCCAGTCGCTGTCATGACATCGAAAATAGAGCAGTCAATTTATGCATGGCAAGATCCCACAGTCAGCATTCTGGGAATGACCAGATAATCTGTTTTACTGACAATGTTTGAGGATCGATATTGACCAGGACGCCCAAGGGTGATCTCCAGAACAGAACATGCTGGAAGCAAGGGAATGAAAGATGACCAGGGATATGCAGGATTGTAAAATTGAGGTTGAAACCAGATTTGCCACAATCTCATTGAATGGTGGAGCAGGTACTTTTGCCCACAGTTCGTGTGTTCAATTGAGACAGGAGTCATGAATAGGCCAAGCTGATTGAGAAATGGACATTTCCTTCCTATAATCACATGGTTGAATAAAAAGAGCTTGTTTTACAACAATCCAACAGCTTCAAAAGTTACGATTATTGATGCCAGTCATCATTTTTCTTAGAAAAGAAACTGAACTCCAATACTTAAACAGCCCAGATGAAATGTGAATTCATGTTCACAGGATAACTGGTTATGGTCTCTGGACGATAATTAAAATGAAAAAAAAACACTCAGCTCCCCTTCTCCAATTCTATTCTGAATTAATGAATGTCAGCTGACACAGTAGGTGTAGGTGTGTGAGAGCCTGAAGAAGCCATGGAAAGTCAAACAGCATTTTCACTCTTAGCCAATGACTGCTGCTATCATCTGTTTGTGGCTAGATAATGGGTGATGGTGGGATTGGCTTTATCAGTGTCTCTGCACCACTCAATAACTTGTCTGCAGTCTCGGTTCACACAGTCTGGTTTCAGCAGGGAGCAATTGCCTAGTGGTATTATCGCTGGACTGTTAATCCAAAGACTCAGGTTAATTTTCTGGGCACTGTATTTGAATCCCACAGACAGTGGCAATTGAATTCAAGGAAAAATCTGGAATTAAAGGTCTGACAATGACCATGAAT